ACTGCAAGGAGAACCGAATAAAATCGTTCTGAATTGTGCAGGGCCAGTCATTTTGATGAGAGTATCTCAAGGCAGACCCAGGCCCGGGTCCCACTACACATGGAGTAGTGTAGTTGGCGACTGGCGTCTAAAAATCTGAAGCGCGGAGGCAGACCGGATCGGACGGCCTTGGCACTGTCGAGCGGAAATGCAAGTGCCTACAAAAAAAATACAGGTCTTTCCAACAGTGGTATAGTCCTCTTCGATGAATGTGTAGTGGGACCCGGGCCCCGAAAAAGAAAACGGCCGGCGGCCCTGTGAAACAAAAGCAGTGCCGCCATTTTCTTTTTTCTTTTTAAGAACAAAAAGAACTTTATGGTCCTCCAAGCTGCACAGTTCGGAGGTCGGAGCCTGCAATTCCTGAAAGAACACGCACGCGAAGTAAAAACAAAGTAACAGTAACAGGCAGGAAAAAGAAAAGAAGAAAAGAAAACAAAAACACGTAACTCTGACACCCTTCAACGCACGAGGTTCTGGACTCTTCGTTCTAAAAAGAAAATAAAGAAACTAAGAAAACAAAAAGCTGCGTATGAATGCACAGGTCAAAGGTTCAAGTCTGCACTTTCCGAACTCACGTCATTTCAGGATTTGCTCGTTCTATAAGCGGAAATCCACGGCTCAAACGTGTGAATATATAACCATGCTACGTGTCAATCAGATACGGCCGGACATAATTCACCGAAAACGACCGTCTAGACAAACCTCTGGAGCTGACTTTCAGATCCAAAAGCCAGCAGTAAAAGTTCTCAAAGTTTATCGGTGCACAGCGTTACGGTTTATCGGCGTGCTGTGTAGCGCAAATAGGAGTTTGTTTTAGATTCACTCTCCATTCACGCTCACTGACTTCTGCCCCCACCCCCTTAACTCACTAGTAGATGTGTGCAAAAGTTGTCTAAAAGGAAACGGACCCGCCCCCGTCTGTAGACAACTCAGAAAGAATGGCCAGTACCTTCCTGGGACTGCTTGTAGTCGTAAGCAAGATGACTCTGGCTGACTAACTAACGGCCCCTATAGCGGAGGCTGAAGCTGGTCTGTCTACGCATGCATGTATCATCTAATCCCCCATTATGTGCTTTGTCCACCCAGGACGCTTTGAATGCACAGCCCTTCTCCCGTCAAGTGCCCCAGAATAAGGTTGACTCCACGCAAGTTCAATCTCATTCAGTTGAGCTGGATCAAAAAGATTTGCAAACATGAAGTGGTCCGTTCCACCAAGAGCTCATTTGACGGTGACCTAATTTACTGAGATCTTAGGTCCTAAAACATTTGACTTAAATCCATACTATAAAATAGAGGTCGCTAATATAAATAAAGATTCTGAGAAGAGCCATATGAGGCGAAAGTCTCACGTATGGTTCGGAAGCTGAGCCATATCAGCATGAGATGGTTTAGGTTAGCAACCACTTTTTAAGTCTTCATTAGTTACTTCCTTTTATAATGGCAGGTGCTAGCCTTCTTCATATTGCTTCTTTACATCAATATGGTTCCAACAATCGACTGGGCATAAACTCTTCTGTAGATAAAATAGATTTTTATGAAATTTTATCCATATTTTTATGGTGCACTGTCCCACAATCAATGGGCTTTCAATTTAATCTTCCTCATGGTAAGAACCATAATGGAGGGTAGATCAGATCAGCGAGAGTTACTTGATGATGCTGTCCCCAAACACCTATTATCTCACCAACTTTCGTTGCTCCGTTTAATGACCAGTCACGCTCGTGAACGACCGACAATAGAATGCCAGTACTGCCTCAAGCAATCACAACCAGCAATATGATGTCATCGAAATGGCACAATTCCTGCACTTCCACCCTTGTCCTGTCTACCCAGTGCAGGAAATCACTACCAGTCGGCTAGATGGTCAAGGACGCTGCCCATGGTACACTACAACACCACCGGCACCAGAAGATCGGACTCGCCAACTTGAGCTGCGCTGAGAGAAGGTCAGTTCACATTGTCACCGGGAAAACAATAAAAAACTCCTCATGCACTTCACAAAGGTCGGCAACTTAGACGACCTATCGACCCCTTAGACCGCTAGTACACGGCCCCAGCCTTGCAGTCTGAACTTGTCGCCACAAGAAAACGAGGCCGAAACATCAAACGTAGGGCCTGCAGTTTTATCTAGTATTGGCAGTCCATTTTTTGTTCTTCCTAGATTCAAGGTCTCAGGCCCGCAGTCCAGGTAATTGTGTACTGGTGCTTTGACGCGGGATCAAATACAAGGGTTACCACCCCAAACCAACTAAAAAGGAACAAGTAATTGAGGACGCAAACAAACAGAGAACACCATCAGAATTCAGGGAATGCGATCGTGTCCGGGTTAGATGTAACGACTTCTCCCTAGGAGGAGGGATAACTCAAAAGTCGTTGAGTCTCTGCTTTTGAAAGGATTCACGCGGCAGACACCCAGTCCGGTAGAAGAGGCCGTAGGGTCTAGGGGTCTGGAATGTCGTAGGTCGGTAGTTGTCAGGTACCGAAGCGTCATAGGTAGGTAGAAGTTCGTCCCGTACCCAACAAGAGAAGTCCAGAAGCATTCAGTCCGGTCCGACAGTCCCAAGTCCAGTTTTGCAGCATGTCCCAGGAAAAGTCAGGAAGGTACCGGACTGACAAAATGTTTGCAGCAGACAGGCCGTGGCCAACGGGTACCGGTCTGAAGCAAGCCAAGCCAAGCGAAGCCAGTCCTATATTTAGCTGCTACAGTGCAGCGCTCATCACGTGTTCAGTTGCAAGATGCGGAAGCGCTGCTGATGCTTGTGGGTTAAGGCAACTTGGGAGCCCCGCGCCCGACGAAGAAGGGGGCGCATGCGTGTGAGATACTCCGTAGATAGGCTAGACGTAGGGTAGGAGGACAGCAGCCATAGCCGCTAAGGTGTGGGCTACCTGAGTGGGTGTATCCATGGTGACGATCCAGGACAGAGAGTGAGAAGGAGTGAGGCAGTGCGAGCCAAGTAAGACAGAGAAGTGAGGCCAGGGAGAGAGAGTGAGAGAGAAGCCATAGCCGCATCTGTTTGAGTTCCGCTGTGTGTGTGTGTGTGTGTGTGTGTGCGGCAGAGCCGCTGGAGACAAACATTCTTGTATATTGATAATAATATTGGAGACTACATCTTCAAGTGCCGATTGTATCGCGATTTGGCTTCTCACGTGTGAACTCTCATGTGAATGTTCATTGATGTATGCAAAGTTGAATTTGACGAGTACTTGACTCATTTCACTTTGACCCGTGGGAATTCCTCAAAGCTATAGCAATTCAAGATGGTTCATCCTACATGATAAACATCCCCCACCACATCTGACAGCCCATCAAATCTTCCATGCATCCAAGTTCCTACCAGACATAGACGGTGAAGTGTTTCCTAATCGCAGATCTGTCATACCACCATCTATGTGTCGAGGATACGAGGATGAAATGATTGTAGATTCGATATAAGACAAATTCTTCTCCACTCGAGGAAGAGGTCGAGCCCCCAAGCAGTATAAAATCAGGTTCAAGTCTCAACCCCCTCTGAAGGTAGGTGGTTTGGTAAAAGGGAACTGATGCCAGCTGATTCTGACATCGTTGCTGGTTATAAAAGAAAAATCTGGGGCATTTGACCAATCATAGTCGGAACTGATGCCAGATGGTGCTGACATCGTTGCCGGTTATAAAAGAAAGCTTTGGGGCACTTGACCAATCATAGTCGCTGACGAGTAAATTAAATACTAAAATTTCTGCTATGGAACTCGAGATGGGGATGACAAGAGTGCAAAGAACAGCGGTCAAATCAGCATGAAACAAGTTGGAGGGCTCCAAGCTTTCGGCTGAGCCTAAAGGGCAAAATTCAGTCCCACGGCCTTCAACAAGGCAGCATGGGTAAAGGTTACAAAAGGAGGCACCCAGGGCCTCTAGAAGCAAAAACAGGCCCCAAGAAAGTCAACGGTCAACCGAGGCACAGAAGTCAAAGAGTCAAAGATGTCTCAGGAGTCGACCGGGGCCACAGATCACGCACACATCCAAAGCGTGAAGACGGTAGCGCTGGAAGAAGGCAGACAGAGAGCAAGAGTGAAAGTTAGCTGCCATAGTTAGGGTAGATGGTGCACTGCGCTGTAGCTTGGCTTTCCAGTGCAAGTGAGGTAGGAGGGGATGATCTCATCTCGTGCAGAGAGGAGAGCAATGAGAGAGGAGAAGAGACTTACCTCGTGGAGAGTCAGTGCTTGCTTCTGGACCATTGCTGGTTCCAATGCTTTTCTTCTTTGTGCCAGTCCGATATTCCATCGGACATCGACTTCGGCAATTGCCGAGGAGCATACCGGCTTCATCATCACTTGAGGGTTAGATTGATGAGCGTGACATGGTGAGAAGAAGTGAAGAAGAGAAAAGGCGTGGAGGTTGACGATTGATTACTTTTCCAAACTATTCTCCTCTTCCATTATCTATTCTGTGGTCTACTTGCTATCTCTGGGTGGTTGTCAATAGCTGAGCATTGTGAGCTTCATGAACGGTGTCGATATTGTCAGTTTCTCAGAATTGGGTTCATTACACAGATACATAGAGATGCCAGACAGCAAAGCCTCATGCCAACCCAGCTAAGGTCATGAAAGATGAAATTATATACACCCCTCTTCGGTTTTGCACAGGGTTCATTGCTAACATTCTCTGCCATATGATAGGTTGTCATCAGACATACCAACTCCGTTGTCATCATCATCATACCAACTCCGTCGTCGTCATCATCATCATCAGCAGCAGCAGCAGCAGCAACATCTTTCAGCAGAATGCAGTGCATAATAAGGAATTGCATACTTGAGGTGTGGTTGCCAGTCCTCTTACTATAGGACCGTCCATCGTAGAATAGCTCATTGTTATCATCACCATAATTAACAGCATTTTTGCCATTATTGTAGTCTTCATCATCTAGTAAAGAAAGAAAGTTCACTTCACTTCTGGGAACGCAACTATACCTGTACTTCAGACACACCTTGGATTGTGCCTCCGAAAGCCGGGTAGCACGTGCATTGATTATTTCTTCTTTTCTCCCCAGGTCCAACCTAGCTGTGCACAACGAAAGTAATTCCATCATTCAGCACGCAAAAATGTGTCGCAGCCCCATCGGAAGATTTCCACCTTTAATAAATTTACATAACAATTATAACACATATATTCAAAGTTCCAACAGCTCGCCCATTCCTGCTGGTCGGGCGTATTGCACCGTGTGTAACGGTGTGTTTCATTGCACACTTTGTACATTCGACAACTCAGAGAGAGAATCTTCGGCACATGTGAAATGCAAAAGCAAACCGCATGGACATTCGTTCACATCGTGACATGAATGTCTGCCTAGCAACTTGTGACCAGTTCCAATCTTTTCTTCGTTTCTTTTCCAACTTGCAACCACCAGTCCTCATGGACAGACTCCTTTTTCAGAAGCATGTGACAGCAAAGGGTACACCACAACAACTTTCAGTTTCGAGCTGCAACATCAAATTCCGACCAATTAAACCCAAAAGTCCTGGCAAACGACACACAGATTATGAAGTCCCGAAAAACCCAAGATGGACTGAGGGCACAAATGTCCCTCAGTGGCACATAACATGAACTCCTGCCTTCCTTCCAAAAACCTTCTTTTAAACGAGTCCTCACACAGACTATTTTCCCCTGTCGCCATCGATGAAAGCAAAGCCCACACCATGCAAGCCGGTTTTGGACATACTCATAATCTGTGAGTCTAAACAAAACAAACAGTCATTCAATAAATGGTAAAATGAGACACATCACAAAGGGACACAAATAACAAAGGGATTCACACAATGAAGGTCAGAGGATGAATGCAGCGTCCATGGACATTCGAAAACAACAGCAACAAAAAAATACTGCAAACAAGCCCGGCGTGCATCCACAAAGGAGCTTAGATTGACAAACAAATTCTACATTTGAGTCATTGCCACATAGGTGTGGTTCACACACAAAGACGGCAAAAGGTCGGCTCCCAGGAGCTCTCAGGCTTGACTGGTTTGACTCACATTCCATGCCTGGCTTAACTTTTTGGTTGTGTTCCACTTCATTTTCAGTTAGACTTAACTCCCAGTTGACTTCAGTTTGGCTTCAGTTAGACTTCAACTTTAATTTGGTTTGGCTTCAGATTTCAGATTCAAATCGGAGTCAAACTCCAACGTGATTTTGACTCTGATTGGACTTCGGTTTGACTTTGGTGGACTTCGGTTCACCTTTGGATTCTACTTCGCCTCAACTCCAACTCGAGTTTGGTTTCGTCACAAATTTGGTTAGACTTCGATTTCACTTTGTGTCTTGGCTTGCTCTCCAGGACTTGTGGTGCTGTCCCTTTACTCATTCCACATATGGCACAGCTGGGGTACTTTCGCCCACTTGGTTGGGATCACGGTTGCTGTCGCAGACTGGTGGGGATGAGGGCACATTCACACCAGGGACTTTCTCGACTGACTGTGGCTGCAATTGTCATCAAATACACCTATGAAGGCATGCCTTTTCTTAGTCAGTTTGGCCTGCATGGACTTGGGTTGGCTCAGTTTGGCATGGAGTTGATCATCCTATGTGTGGATGGGCTTCGTTACTTCGGCCTGGGGGTTGGGTTGACGCCCATACGAGTCCCTGTTTGTGATGATGATGATGGACATGCGCAACAGGAAGGTGGACTGCCATCATCAGCTTGAACAATTTACTCACGGCGTCGCACTGACAGCAGGTAACGCACACCAAAATCTTGGAAAAACAAAAAGAACGGTAGCTGAAGTTAACGACTTGACACACAACAGCAGTGAAACAATAGATAAACATAGGGCCTCGCTCCACTACAGAACACTCTACATGCATTCAGACGCTCTTTGGACCCGGTACATTCATAATGTTGGACTTGTCCCAGTGCACCTGGTCCTTGAAGCGTCCAAATGCATGTAGAGTGGTGTGTAGAGGAGCGAGCCCCATAAGCATGGATAACACGCCTGGTGGCTGGTGAATGGTACACAATGTACAACACACATCTAACTGAGAATAAACAAATCATGAACTTGAGTCCACATGGACATAATCAAATGATCGCCAGAAGCCCTTATATTGCAAAAAGAACAACAAAACAAAGTGACGTTCGCCTTTTTCAAAGTTTTCTCTTTGCCTTTTCTTCTCAATTGCCCCTCTGCTCTTGATATTCTAGGTTTGGTCTAAACTTTTAGCAGTGCTGACACCACTTCCTTAGCTTCTTCACTGATTACCTGTGCTCTTTTCATCTTATGCCTTTTTGCTTTAAGCCAAAAAAGAAAATCAACAAAAAAAGAGGAAACATCTATTTGGTATTTACCCATCTTCGGAAAGCTCTTGGCTTCAGAAATATCGCTTTGAGCTCAGTCATGAACCTGTATGCAGTGCTCTGATCTGTTCATTCCTCCTCCTTTTTTGTTTTGCTTTTTTTTTAACTACGCTTTATTCTTCTCTCAATTCTTTTCTTTTGCCTTTCACTACCTACCTACCACTACTCCTAAGGCTATATAGAGGAGACCCCTTCAAGCATAGCTACCTCGCAATGAAGGGATTGCATGTTGCCCCCCGCCCCAACAGCGGCAGTCATAGATGGGGTAGGGCGCCCAGTGGGGGTCTAGCTAACGCAAAGACAGAGCATTTTGCCAGTACCCTCCATTTTAAATATTTCCTTCTTTTATGATGTAGTTATACGCACACAATGTCCTTCGGGACATCTGTTCAAATTGGAAGGATATAGAGAACATTAGCATGGCCCCTGCGCAAGGATGACACGCATAAATCGAGAAATGGTCCAGTTTAAGAAGAAAAAATAATAATAAAGAAGTATACGCACACAACCGGCCAGCGGAGGATATGAAGACAATAAAAGGCAAAAAAAAAAAGAAAGGGAGGGTCAATGTGGCATACGGATACCACACGGGCCCCAGTTAGGGCCCAGTTCTGTAGTAGGCACGGGTAAGGCCTAGGTACCAGGTCACGACGGTCCCAGCCAGGCCCAGGTAGGCCTAGGAACCGTCGATTCAGATTAGAGTCCGGTAGGCCTAGTCTAGACCCCACCAGACCCAACGGCTAGTTGGGTTAGGCCAGGTACCGGTCCATCGATAGGACCGGCTAGCGGAGCAGTTTAGGGGCCACTTTTCAGATTTCGGAATCGGATCTGAACCGTTGGGGCTGATCAACGGTCCAGACCCGAAGGCACCAGTAGTACTGAGGCCGGCCCAGCACTATATCAGCTGGGTACCAGCCTCGGGAGGGAGGTTAGGCTACAGGTTAGACAGCGCTTCCGTTGGCATCGCGGAGGAGCAGGGAGAATTAGCGCAGCAGAGAGGAGTAGCGCAGCAGCGTTTAGCGCAGCAGCTTTTAGCGCAGCAGCAGCAAGTAGCACCGGCCCACCGCCTCAGATCACAGTCCAATGCCCAGCATTGCAGCGCCATAGCTGCACCGCTGGGCTCGGCCTCAGCGGACATCAGCCAGGACAGCGCGGCCTTTCCTCTCTCTCTCTCTCTCTCTCTCTCTCTCTCTCTCTCTCTCTCTTGCTGCCCTCTAAGTCTACTTCCGGGGTTACTCCTACTGGACTACTATGAGTACGCAGGATGGTTACGAGCTCTGATGACATTGGAGATAGCAACATTGAGACTGCAGGTTGAGGACTACTTTACATCTGATTTCATCTTCCTCTGGAGATGTATCTTGACATTGTGAGATCGATATCTGAGACACTGTGAGACTCTGTATTCGCGACATTTCCGATTTTCGCTACTTCTGACATTTCGAGATACTATTTTTTGGAAACATTGAGTTGATGTCATCTTCCCTCTCCTCCTCCCGTCCTCTCTCCTCCCCCCCATTCATCTGTGTATGAGAGTTGGCCCTGGTCTTTTCTTCCATATCCAAGGCCAGGGCTTTCACACCACCGATGTATGTTTGTGAGGGATTGGTTGCAGTCTGAGTCAGGTTTGAATCAGTCCATGTGTATCAAGTCTTCCGCTGTAATAGTACTTACTCTGTATTATCTGGTCGGTTCTGGGAATCTGCGCCATACTTATGACTGTGTTTCACAAGTATGCAACAGTCAGCGTGTGTGATTGTCAAGCAGTTTGTCGACCACAGTTTCATTCACGGACTGTTGCCAAGTGCCAAAAGACGTCGGATAGTATATCTAATATAATAGAGTGCCTCACCCAACAGTCCTCAGAAGCATTCAGTGAAACAAGCGCAAAAAAATGAAACTGGCATCATAGCATTCTCTTTCATTTCTGTGAGCTTATGTGGAGAGACTCTGGGGAGAGGGTAGGATGTGTGGCCAGCCCTGATGATACAAAAGAACTACGTTTCCAAGTTTTCTCCTAATAAGCGTTTTCATCATACTTGCGGCGCATTTGTGCGGTGCGCTGCACTGCGCCATGCTGACTGCGCGCGGTGACACTGCGCGCGCACGAGGTGCGCCATGCGCGCAGCGCATGGGGACGCGCTACCCCTGCGAGGTGCGCACTGTG